CTCAGATCCTCTATTTTTTTATCTGTGTCCTCTCTAGGTTTATTAATCATGTCTTGTACTATGGACACAATCTCTGCTGATATCTGAGAAATTATTTCTGATTTCGTTTTTTCCAAATCCTCTTTCGTTGCCAGTTCAGGGAGTCCAGGTGGTTGAGTATCAGAGTGTTCCATCTCGTTTCCCCTTGGAGTTGCTTTAGGTGATCTGGATGTCTGGTTTTGAGACTTGACTATGTGTCTTCTCATTTCATTGGGGTAGTTGGGTGTGTGCTGCTGGTGCCCTGCGGCTCACCTCCTCCCTGCTTGGGGCAGTGGTACAGTGGCCCACAGGAACAGATTTTTAATTTGTTAGTTATTGAATGCTATACAGTTACTGCATACCTATCCTGAGAATGTCTCAGGACATTGGATCCTAACCTGGTTCCTGTGGCACCACGCACCCGACAGCGAGCCATTGCCTGTGCCTGGTGCCCAGTAGGACAGGTTCTGAGACAACTCTGGCAGTTACAATTTCAACAATAGACAAAATTTTCCAAGTGGAAGACCAGAGATCGCAAACACATAATTAAGATATTTTCACCCAACCACTTCATTTTTTGAAAAAAGAAAAAAAAATCACATACTCAACAAATGAGGTAAAGTCAGAAGTCTTATGAGTAAAAAAACAAGCCTCAACTATGGCTCTAAGAAGTAGATTTTAAGAATAGGAAGAGTCAATAAAATAGTCTTAGTTTAGTTTTTTGCAGAAGCAACACAAAGTGCTTTATTAGGGAGGTGGTCCCAGGAAATACCTGTGGAGGCAAGGAGAAATGGCACAGAGCAAGGAGGATATCCAATGTAGGGAGTATTATCAAGCCCATTAGCATTGTGGACAGCTGGAATTCAGTGTCCCGAAGGAACTCCAGGAGCTGATGTAAATCATGCAACTCAGAGCTTGCTCTCTAAGCAGTGAGGGAATTGGGTATTTATACACTAAGTATAGGGGATCACTGACTAAGGACAGCCTCTTGTAGGGGTGTGGAGGTGACATTATCTACTCAGTACTTACAACCTGCCATTTGCGTATGCCAAGAGCCTCTGGCCATTAGAGAAAGCCCTCATCACAGAGATGTGCTGGAAGATGGAAGGGGGGTTAACATCCTAAGAATGGTAAACATGTGTACTATAGCCACCCATCTGGGATGAAGAATACAGCGAGAAGTTAGCTATTGGTGTCCAGCAAGGCATGGAGAGAGGAAAAGCATTTGGGAAGTCCATTGCCTACCATTAGATGCAAAGAAAGTTCCAATTTAGAGTTTTGTTTTCATTGTCATATGGGTTTATACACAATCTGAGAGACAATTGGCTTAGAAGAACAAGTTCATTGTATAAATTCAAATACTTCATAATTTTATAATTTCTTTATTTTTAAACATAGTCAATACCATAAATGAAGTCAGGGTTCCAGATCTTGCTTTACCTTGGAGAAGTTCTGAATGTTGGCGGGTGAATGTGAAATGTGTGTTGTAAGTGGCAGTGTGTCAACAGTTTTAACTAGGGCAATCTTCAGTGGCTGGAGGTGACAAGATTTAGGGCCTCTAGGTCAGAGGAAAGGGAGAGATTCCTAGTGACCCAGGAAGTCTTAGGGATTGATGCTCATCAATTCACTCAGCCAATCACCAGCCACTGTACCTGAAAACCTCAGCTTTTCAGGTTTCAAATTTGAAATGTCAAATAGCACAGTGCTTAGAACATAGTACTCATTTGATAATCAGTACCATATTGTTATAGTCTTGATTTGAAAGATGCTACATATAGTAATCTATGGTTCTGTTTCAGGTAAAACATGCTCCAACGATAAGGGAAAATCTCATTGTTTATAAAAGCCTATAGCCAAGGGGTTTGGCCAGTCTTGTTCTCAGACTGGTAATGAAGAATTAAAATCACCATGCCCTTCTCTCAAGCTTTAGCATCTAGCAGGGAAGTCTAGGGAGACAGCAAGTGATGGCAGGCCAGTGTCAGTGTCAATACTGCAGAATGTTCAGGATGCCATGGGGGACAGAGGAAAACTTGAAGGTTGTAGGCTGCCATACACCAAGTGAAAATTCTCCCTGAATGGAATTGACCCAAATTTTTCTCATGATTAAAGACTCAAAGAACAACTTGATATATCTTCAGTTTTCCTAGCATCAATGTCAGAGACAACCCTGGCCAACTCACCCTTCTCCTGGCCCGGGGAGCTGGTTCCAGAGTGTTGGGAGACGTCAGCTCGCTTGGTGTTTCCGAGGTGGAGCTGAGAGATGAGTTACTGCTTGAGAGTTCTTTGTTTTGTCTTTTATTTCCAAATGGCATGAGGGAAGCCACAAAATCAGATGAATCCTCCTGCTCCTCCCTCTGCAAGTCCTGCTTGAGTTTATAGGCCCTGTCATTGGCAATGACTTGGGACAAGGGCATTCCAAATGCCTGTGGGATGAATTCTGGAACCAAAAATCAGACATTCCTGTTCAGAGACTGCCCAGACCAGTGAAGACCTTTCATGGGTGTCTCAGACCTAAAGGCAGACATATTCAAATGATTGCTTTCTGAGGGAATGATTTATCTATCAATTGACGTACAGAAATGACTTCATTTTTATCAGAATGGCTAAAATTTCCACTTCAATCAAAAAGCAAGTAGGCATAATACACATTTTGGAAATCTCGATCTGCAGGTTTTTTTCATATGCCTCAAGTTTTTCTTAAAGGAAATAACATTACAGAGAGGTATGACATTTTTGACAGACTGTAAATAATACATTTTGCTCATGAATATATAGTTCTGCAAACTGTTAGTCTTTGATTTATATGTCTCAGAAGCCCCTAAAGACTGCAAGGGATGAGGAGATTGTATTTATCCATTTATTGAACAAGCATTTGTTGTACACCTACTATGTACCATGTCAAAGTATGTAAATGAGGGAGTTACAGCAATTATAAAAGGCCCAGGCCTTGCTCACGAGGGCTTCAGTGTGTGAGGTAACATAGGGAAATGCAGGGTCAGACATGTAAATAATTATAATAGTGTGCCTATCATGTGTTATAATGGAGAGATGCATGAAATAAAGACTAAAATTCAGTTAAGCAGATACATTTTGGGATTTCCAATAGAAGAGGCAGCACATAGAATAAAAGCTAAGGTGCAAAGGAGCAACTTGGGAACAGCTTGGGAAGAAGTTTGATTTATACTTAATCCATTTTCCCGGCCACATGTAGAAGTGGACTCCATCAGAGTATCTCTGGTGGGAGGTCTAGGAAGCAGTTTGTTAAATCTTCTAGTGGGGGCCCCTTTGGGAAGGGGCATAATGCAGAAATCTATGGCTTAGATATACACAGAGTTGTGTTCTGCATCTCTGTAGTGAATCCATTTGTACACATACATTGAATCCTTAGGGCCAGGCATTTTATCGGCAATATTTTAGATTCATGCCAAAAAGCATTAATAATTCAATCATGTGCATTATTCCTGTTAGACTCAAAATTATATCTCACAGAGCAGCAAATTGGTGTCTCATCTCTCTCTTGTTTTTATAAGCCCTATGAATGGAACCAAAATGAACAAGGGAATATAATTTTAAGCTTGTTTGTTCTTTGAACAAAAAAGCAAACATTAAATCGGGTGGAAAGTGGCTTTAAAAGGTTTTCCTCTTTGATTCATGGCAACATTTAAAAATAGGCTAATGACCAAGTCTGTATTAAGAGCAGAAATGCTACTTCAAAAGATGGAACCTCTTGTTCTATCAAAACATGGAATTTGTTTTGAAGGGAAAATATCCTAACTTCACTTGAGGATTTTCAGTGGTGCTTGCCATTCTCCATCAACATACTAGGTGATATATGATAATGCATTTCGGGTATTTCTCCTCTGAGTGATCAGTGTGGACAATGTAGCCAGATCCAATATTCATTACTGACAAAAGGCTGTTTCTGCTACTAGCAAAATCAGGAAGCAAAGAAGACAGTACCAGACCCCTGACTGTGAACACTGAAGACTTATTATATAAGCCAGAACTATCTTAGCTGAGGAAATAATAAAATATTCTTACTTTAAAAGATTGGAGAAGTCTGGGAACACGTGGGTGGTAAAGCTGACAACCACATGAAACATACACAGACAAACAGGAGATAATAACATTGACATGGATCAGGTGACATATGACTGCTCACGTCGGCATATGCAGGGCAGGGATTTACTCTTAAGATGAGAACTATAGGGCTGGGATATATTTCAGTGATAGAATGCTTGCCTAGCATGGGTAAAGCCCTGGGTTTGATCCCCAACATGCGCATGTGTAAACACACACACACACACACACACACACACACACACACACACAGATGGGGACTATTGAGTCCCCTTCTAGCCATTTTTTTTCCATATAAGGAAACCCAACCAGACTTGGTTAAAGATTTCTAATATTTCTGGATAAAGGAAGAAACATTGTTTCCTTTGGAATCTGTCATTTTAAATATCTGAAAATCTGTCACTCTACTTGTAAATTAGAATAGCTGAATACAAATGAAACAGATGAAATACATGAAGTCATCCTCCCCTAATTTTTATTCCTCTTTTGTTCTCATTCAAGAGATGAAGCCACCCATAACAGATTTTCATTTCTCTTTTTCTGGCTGAGTTTATCCTTTCAACGGTAGAGTTTTGATGCCGTCTCTTTCATTCCTTACTACTTCCCTGAGGATTCTCCTGAGTTTTACAAAGGAGATGTCTCCCTGCTCCAAGTTATGCAGTATCTATTTAGTCTTTATAAAATTCAAGGAAGAATTCCTGAATATTATTCTTCTTAAAAATATGGCAATTTTGAAATCAAGGACTCACCACAAGTCTTTTGAGCAAAAGTCTAGTTGATGTTTAGAAAAGGCACTGGGAATACATGCCTGCCTAAGTTCAAAGCTCTTTCATGAGGGTAAAAAAGGAACTTCGAAACCCTGTGCTAACAAGTGAATAAAGTTGATGACAGGTTTTTAAAAAATAATTTTTAGTACATGTTTGTGACACATAATAATTACATTCATTTTGGGGAATTGGTAAATATACACATCACATCTTGATCATTTTTACCCCCTGTCACTACCCTCCCTTTCTCAGATCCCCTTCCCATCTCTAAAAGTCTACCTCCCTGTTTGCTGCCATCTCTCCTTTATTTTGTTTTAAAATGATTTGTGTTTGGGGTCTTTCATATAAGAGAAACCATGCAATGTTGTCTCTTCTGTGTCTGATTTATTTCACCTAGCATTATGTTCTCAGGATCCATCCATTTTTCTAACAGGCCTTTTAAATGAGAAGGAAATCAGCCAAGATCTACTGTGCTGGGACTAGAGACAATGGATATCATGTTCTCATCCATGGCATGTATTCTCTGGGGATCCTGTTTCCCTGCTGTTCTCATTAGGGGTGACTGTCTCTGTTCTCTCTCTCTTGGCTCCTGACTGCTACTTCCAAACCTTCATCCTCCCTCCCATGACAGAAACCCACCACCACAAGGTTTCTCTTGTTTCCTGCTCTTTGTAATCTTCTATTGTCATTCACTGTGACTCACCATTAGACCCCAGACAGATGTATCATCAGGCTGGGTGACTGAGCTGTTCATCTGTATAACCTGTTTCTCTGTCTTCACATTTTCTTGGTCTCCTCCTCTCTTCTTATCTTTTCATGCAGGCTACATTTATCATCCACTTCCTTGGTCCCATCCTGGACATTATCTTCAGCAGAATTTAACACCTCATTGCTACCCAAAACTTGGACCTTTCCTCTGGGCACCAACCATTTTTCTTCCTTGACACCCGGACATCCATCCCTAAGGCATCTCTTATGTCCTGTCTTCGCCTCCCAGGTCTGACTCCGATTTGCAATGTCTCTGTTCTTCATGGGACAGAGTAAGAATTCTGAGTTATACCTCTCTCTTTCTCACCTCTCATTTCCACTCTACCATCTTGTCATATTGCCCTCGCGTGATCTCTCATTTCCCTCTATGTCTTTCCACTTCCACTGTCACTCCCATTCCAGTCCAAGATTCCATTACCTTACTCCTGGGCTTTCAAATAGCCTTCTACCTAACCTTTCTCCCTTCACTGTGGGGCCACACTCTTTCCCAACTTCATGTCTTACACTGCCCATCTGTTTTAAAGCATCCTTAGGCTCCTCCTTCCTTAGTACATTTTGATGGTATCTATTTTCTTTGAGAATTTATATATGGTGATATTTGTTAAGTGGTTCTTCTATTGCTGTTTAATATAGAGCAGAAATTTTGTATCAACTATTCTTACCTAGTGTTCCTTCAAAGCTCACTCACAATGACATATGAGACTGTGAGCACCAATAAAGCATGGCATAAAAGGATTTCAGCATAAAGAAAAGTACCAGAACAGAACTCTTCTCAGATTTTATGTTGATAAATATATGGCATAATTGGACAATATCCTAGCTCCCAGAGTCATGCCACCATAAAACCTCATCACCATGTTCTCTGATTTGGAAGTACTAGAACTGAAACAAACTAGCTCATGATAAACCTTCCCTCAAAAAAATGATTTCTTTTTGACACAAGAAATTTTCTGAAGTTTTAAAAATACTTTTTTTTTTGTACCTGGAATCGAACTCAGGACCTTGAGCTTGCAAGGCAGGCAGCAGAACCACTGAGCTAAATCCCCGGCCCCAAAATACTTTTCATTAAACCATGAGAAATCAAGGAGTTGGAACTATTTAATATGAAAATATATTTTCTGAACTGGTGTCAATTTTGGTTTAGTTTCTACATGGAAATCAAAAGTCATATGGATACTGCTTAAGTCACAGGAGGGACACAAGAGTGTCACATGATCTGCTGCTTATTTTATCAAGACTATTAACTATCATACAGAACATGATTCATTTTGATGGAATCAATTAATATAATGGCATATCAAACATTTGTGAGTCACTACTGGGAGAGCAACTTTACTTTAAAGAGCCGAGCCTCTTTATTTTTAGATGGCCTAATCCAAAAGGTCACTTAGAGTTTCCTGTTTTCCTTCTTTTTCTCTTGGATTCAAATGATGATCATTTTTCACATGTGCAGCTGTTATGAACCCAGATGCTAATAGGCAAAGGGGAGGAAATAATGTGAACCAATTACAACTGTGCCAGCCCTGCACACTGCCACCTCATGCTATGGTTCCCAGGCCACCCACGTGATGGCTCCCAGTGTTGACAAAGACCGGGATTTATGTTTAGAAAAGATGTCATGTAATTACTCTTCACTGAAGCCTAGGATACCTTGTTTTTAAACATCAAAGCTACTTTATAAAAAACAAACGTCTTTTGCCATGAAGCCAGACACTTCTCCCCTCAGTTGAATGAGTGGTGTCTTTTTTTGAAACCACCAGGATCTGCTTTCCTTTCCCCAGTCAGCTTCCTGTGAGGCAGGAGCTTTCACCGGGCCTGCATAAATGTGATTTGGTCTGAAAAATGTGTAGTGGCCCAAAGTCTGTTGGACAATTAATTTCCTGGCCCTTCCTTCTGGGTCATTCATGTTTGTGCCTCCTGCTGTTTGTATGCATTAGCAAGCACACACACACACACACACACTCATCTCCTGTTGAGGGAATACAAACATCTCTCTTTACCTGCAAAAACGCTCATTTTGCTTAGACCAGCTCAAATTGATACTCCCTGAAGAATCACCTAAAGTTAGCACTGTAAGTATTTATAGGCCAATATCAACACCATTATCCTTGAATAAACTAACTTTAAGAGATAATACGTTATTAGCACAGTAGTATTTCTGTACTTGTAGCTTTGCTTTCCCTGGTTTCAATTACCCATAGTCAACTGTCTAAAAATATTAAATGGAAAACTCCAAAAATAAGCAATTCATAGGTCCTAAGTAACTGTAAAAATTTAATTTATTTATTTATTTATTTATTTATTTATGTTTTAGAGTAGTAGAGATTGAAAGATTGAACCATGGGCCTTCACACTGAGCTACATCCCAAGTAGTTTTCTCTATTTTTAATTTTGAGACAGGGTTTCACTGAGTCATTAAGTTGCCCAATCTGAGTTCGAACTTGTGATTTTCCTGCCTTGGCTCCACAGAGTTGCTGGGATTACAGGTGTGCACCACCATGTCTGGATAAATTATATTATATTATATTATTATAATCATTTTATTTCATTATTAGTCACTGTTATTGATCCCTTACTGTGGGTATTTATGAATTAAACTTTATCATAGATATGTATGTATGTATAGAAAAAACACATTATATATGAGGTTCAGAACTATCCATGGCTTTCGGCTTCTTTTGTGCATCATCTTTGGAATGTTCCTTCAGGGAATAAAGCAGGACAAGTGAACCAACCTGGATGCTTCTTTAAATATGGTATTCATACAGAAAACTGCTCTAACCTAGACAGATAAATGTACTGAACTGCAGGAACAGAATGAGCAAAAACTCCACAAGAATGATGCTGGATACTAATATTCAAGACATTGAAAATAAGGGCAGTAATTATCAACCAATTAAATATAACACAATAGTTTTGGACAATGATATGTAGCTAGACAGTCCCTTGTCTTCATTATTTCAGGAGCAGATTTGATCGTTTCTCGGCCTTTTAGCTAAGATCAAGTGTAGGAGCAGATTTGACTGGGATAGGACAAGCCCTGGTGAGTATTCTGCTTAATATAGACCAGTGTTCTCATGTTAGAAGGTACACATTCAAAACTCATAAAAATACTCATGTTCAATGGTACTTTTAGACCAATGGACTCATATTCTCTGATGTATGTGTGGGGGGACTGGGCATTTTTTTTGGTGATTGCTATTTTGTTTTTTGCAGTGCTAGAGATGGAATCTTTGGACTTGTGCATGCTAGGCAAGCACCGTATCTAAAGTGCACCCCTAAGCCCTTGGGCTTAGAATTTCTAAAGGTTCCACAAGTGATTCTGTTGTACAGTCCAGGGCAGGCATCATTGATGCTTTCACTTCCTTACGACAATTTGAGGTAAACATTTGAAATGGCTGGAAGTGTTTTAGCTTGGGGTAGTGCTGCTGACATCTACTGAGTACAAGTCAAGGATGCTGTTAAACATCCCACAATAAACAGGACAACCTCTACCATACAGATTTTTCCAGTCCAAAATGCCAGTAACAACAAGGGTGAAAAATACCACCCTAAGGGAAACAAAACAATGATTTTCCACTCTTCAGAATTCTTCATCATCAAACATCAGGAACTGGTGTCATGACTTTTAAGGCACAGTTCAAGACATATGCGTAGTGACTAATAGTAGTGCTATGGAATAGGTCTTGTCCAGTACCGATTATTTTTAAAACCCTTGGTTTCACTGTTTCCATCACTTTTCAACCAGAAATTCAATCATTATATGAAAGAACTTGAAGGTGAGACATGTTTATCCTCATACGACACTCATTCACTGTGTCACATAAAATGAAAACATATTCATACGATCGCACCGTTCAACAATCATCTCACATGAGACCATAAGAATAAGCCACAAAAATGGACTGTGCTAACGAAGCCCAGGTGTCCATTATGCAGGCTCAGAGAATATTAGTTAAAAATGACCACAAATATCTCGGAAAGGGTGGCTAAAGTGTCAGTTCTCTAAATAGACATGGAGGGGGACACAAAACCATATGGGAGTTAGCAAGTCTCACAACATATGGGGTGAAAAATAAGCATCCTGTGTTTAACATGAAAATGCTGAGAATGGCACATCTTCAGTTACCCACGAAGCCGAGACTGTTTCTTCCCAGTAGTGATGGTGAGCAAATCTAAAATATTTCTCATTCAACTAGCCCTGCCTAACTGTTTGAATTTGCCAGACAGCTGGTTAGTGTTAGTGATGCTGTCCATGGCTACTTGACCAAGGTCCTTTTTTATGCATAGTTGATTGGCCAGGATAATTGGAACCATACATTTGGCCAAAGTTATACTCTGCTCAAACCAGCTGAATTCATCAGTTCAGCACAGGGATACTCAAACACAGAAGAGTAGACCAAAACATCCCTAAATGACATTCCATCATAGAAATCCGGTTTGCATAATAGATTGAACCACATAGCTCTATGCGATTCAAAAACCCTACCAAATTCAACCATTATGCTCCATGGAAGATATGTTTGCTTTAACTATTTCATCCTTTACCTCTGTCTCTGTTTTTCTCTTTTCCTAGGGAATCCAGTTTCTTTCTCAAAGATTTCTTTCTCTTTTGTCCATCTGTAAATGTAAAAAGAACAAGAAGTTGTAAAAATAAGCATACAAGTGATATTTTACATTATAAATAATTATATTTGAGCAAAAGTATGACTTCTCTCTTACTTTGCTCATAATTTGTCATTTTATTTAGAAGAACTGGTATGAGAGTACATGAAAATATCTGATTTGGTTAGCATATATAGCCAGAATTTTGATGTATTTTCTTACAGTCATGGGGAGTACAAGAAACCTCCCTTCTTCAGATATTACTTTAGCTTTGACATGTAGATTTGTTTGCTTGTACTATTATACAATTCTTTTCCTATTCTCCATGCTTTTGCAAATTGAACCAAATCTTCATGAGAGAGTCAACAGCTTTGATATTTATGAGCTAGTGCAGTGTGATTGGATAAGGAAATGCATTTAGTGGTCTGCAGAACTGAAGTCTGTTTCTCTACCATTTAATGACTGTGTCACTTTGGACAAGTCTCAGAGTCCTTATCTATAAAATAAAAACGCCATGTGGTTGTGGGAATTCAATGAAATAATACATATAAATTGCCTAATGTCGAGTCTGACACGTGTTCATAAATTCCCCACTTTGTGGGGGTTGCGTAGTACTCCATGGTGTAGCTGCACCACAGTTTGCTTAATCATCCCTCCATTAATGGATGTTGGTGTTGTTTCTAATTTTTCACTATAACAAGTAGGGAATATTTCCTTTTAGCATCTGGTGTTTGCAACAAATGTACTTCATATGTCTGTTTCACTCACCAAATAATAAAGATACCACTCATATCAGTGGGCAGCTGCAATCAAATTCTTGGGATGTCATCACAAAATATTGGCATTCATCACTGCCAGAATGTTTTTGGGAATTATGCAGCTGTCAGCTTACCATGTGGGAGGTGTGAACTGGGAATCCACACAGTGATCAAATAGCAGAGGTGCAGTCCATGCCCCAAAGAAATATAGTTTTAAAAGGAGGATTAAGAATTCTTTTACAAGACATGCTAAAAATGTAGTAAAGAGGTTCAGCTGAATAAAATTTAAAAACAAGACAGTGATATAAGGAAATGACAAAATAAGAATTCTGAAATAGAAATGAGCATTCCTGGGATCTTCACGTGGCTGCAGATGTTCCTGGCTTCTCCTCAGTGAATTTTTGGAGGCAAAAGAACATCTCAGTTCAGTTAACAGTCACATTCAACCCCTCCCCTCTTTCAAAGATTTCAAAAATCATCCTCCCCCCACAAAATAAAAATAGCTAAATTTTTCACCCTTGTAGTCATGAGGTTTGAGTGGAGAAAATTATGGAAATTGCTTGTAATGTGGCAAAGAGCCACAAATCTCTTGGTCATTTATATGTTCAGATCTTCAACATCTAAAAGTTGATCTAAATATGATGACTTATTGTGACATTATATATACACAGACAAACATTCTATGCACAAGACAGTAATCTGGGCTCCATATAGAACTGATAAGTCTTTTACTTTACAATACTTTGTTCATTGCTAATTCATATCACCAAATGTATTGACAATAACAAAATTTTAATTTTTGAAACCTCTAATTTCTTCATTTAAATAGTTGACCAAGCAGAGAAACTAAACCATATATTAAAGGCCAGTGGGCAGATCCAAAAATTCAAAATGTCAAAGAGACAGAATACATAAAGGATAGGGGACATTCTCTTTTAAGATAGAATAATTTTTTAAAATTATGGAATGTACCCCAGAAGTGTATAAATAAAAATGTACAATTTAAATAATAATTAGAAAGCATCTCTGGCACATCCAACAGCCATGTTAAGAAGTACACTATTGCTAGCTTTCAGAGATTTATCAGCATGACTCCCTCCTCCTCATCCCATGTAATCTACTGGTCTGATTTTGTAGTAATCAATTGTCAGCTTTTCTTTGCAGTTTTACTATGTATATGTGTATTTGTAAAGTATATGCTTTTCTCTTGTCTTGCGACGAATATAGATAGACTCATACTAGAGGTATTCTTTCTTACTTTATTTATTTCATTCACCAACATTGTGAAACTCATGCTATAAATTCTGTAGGTAGCTGTAGATCACTCACTGTGATTGCTATCTAGTGTTTTCTTCCTGTATAAATATGCCATACTTAATTCTCCCATTGGATGGTTGATAGATTCTTGTGTTGTATATGGCTTGGGGCTATTAGGAATAATGTTTTTAAAAAATCTATTTATGTCTCCTGTGCATGCACCAAAATCTCTCTAAGATGGTACTTTTGAAAACGTGGTTCCAGAACCAGGAGCATTAGTATTGCCCGAGAACCTGTTAGAGATGGAAATTCTCCATGGTTCAATTCAGACCCACTGAATCCAAGGTGGCACCAGCAATGTGTGTTTGAACAGACTCTGAAAGGATTCTGGTACACACTAAAGTCTGAGAGTTGCTGCTCCAGGGTATGTACATAGAAGCTGCCTTGGTGAATCAGTGTGTATGCAATCTTAGGTTTTACTAGGTAAGTCAATATTTCTATTCCCACCAGTATGAAAGTTCACCTCATCCCACAAGGATAGTGGGTATCTTAAACCCCCAAACTCCAAACAATACCTTGAATTCTCCTTACAGCCAAAATATGATTTTTGTAAATAATGACCTATAATTCAAAACACTTATCTAGGGCCAGGGATTTAGCTCAGTGGTTCTGCTGCCTGCCTCACAAGCTCAAGGGCCTGAGTTCGATCCCTGGTACAAAAACAAAACAAAAACAAAACAAACAAGCAAAACACCACTTATCTATTTACAGTGCATACTATCTTTTCCACTTAATCAGACAGAGGTAAATATTACTAATAGGCCACTGCACAAAACGATCGGTGATATATGACGATGTGAAATGATGCAGTGCTTTAGCGTCTATTTCCTCTTTTTACATTCTCAAACAAATGACCAGAGCTATATAATTATTCCTTATTCCTTCTCTTTGCCTTGTAATCAATCAGCAGTTTGCCTGGGAGTCTCCCGTTTGTGAAGAAAGACTCATCTTTTATTCCTATAGAACACTAAAAATCTTATCAAGAGGTTGCCGTCCGTATTAGTGCCAGTTCCACACAATTCATGTTCAACCATTTCCTTGGATGGCAATAAACGAGATAAGTGTCATTCTGCATTTGTCTTAGTCCATTTTCTGCCACTGTAACAGAATACCAGAGTGGGTAATTTATATAACGAAGTTATATGGGTCATAGTTCTGGAGACTGGGAAGTCTGGGGAAAGTCACCATGCTGTGTCATCACATGGTAGAAGGCATCATATGGGTGAGAGAGGGAGATATAGAACTTGCTGCCTCATGCCCTTTTATAATTAGTATTAATTCATTCATAAGGGTAAAGCTCTCACGACTTAAACACCTCCCAGTAGGCCCCACCTCTCAACATAGTTGCATTGGGGAGTAAGTTTCCAATACATGATTTGTTTTGGTCCCCTTTGTCGGGGGACACATTCAAACCATAGCATTCTAAGAAGAAATTCAAACCTCCAACTAACAGTGACCATAGAAATGCTTTTCATGGTGCAAACAGTGATGAGCACATGTATACTGACTGCTTCCAGCATGCCCATGGTCTCACAGGCAACAGTGACCTGTAGGAGGAACTTGGGCAACACAGCTTCACCAAAAGCATCTTGGAGGAAGCACTTAGGGATTGTCTTGTATGTGCCCCCCTTTTGCCAGGCACTGTGGAAGTTCTCATCACTCTGCCCAAAGGAGGCCACATCCTATATGTGGGAGACCTCACAGAAACAAACCGCAGAAGAGCAGATGGTGAGGGCGCAAGCCTGCCATGTCCTAGTGACCCCCAAAACAAAGGGCCTGTCCTGCAAGCTAGGTGTAGCTGATCTGGGGATGTTTTTGGAGGAGATCAATATTAAGCAGGCTCTTCAGGAGAACTGAGACTCTAGGACACACTTTTCATGAACTCATTTGCTCTTGGTCATGTTCTATTTTAAGGCGTGTTTGTTTCTCAAGCTAGAATAGAAGCTTTCAGAGAGCAGAACCATAGCTCCTGGGCTTTTGTTTCCCTCCAAGTAAACAGCACAGGGCAACTTGTTGGCACTGTCCAAAGCCCAGAAGTCAGAAGTTTTGGGCTGGGTCTGATGGAACCAGGAACAATGAAGTACACACCTCCTAATTTTAAGGTGATCAGATTCAGAGAATACGGCTCATGAAATGTTATTTTTTCATAATGCATTAATTCTAGACCTAATAACAAAATACTTTCTGTGGAAAGACTCACTTGGTGAAGATGAAGACTAAGTATTACCTTTGGGAAATGTATGCCACTTGAGAAGGGGCAAAAGGGAGCCTTTTGGGGAGCAAGAAGGTTCTATGCCTTGGTCTAGTTGGTAGTTCCATGATATATACATATTTAAATTCCACCAGGCTACACTTGTGCACATTCATATTTATGCACTGTAGTATATGCATTGTTTCTCACCAACAATAACAAGAAGAAATGATTTCATTATTTTTACATGGTGGCACCAACATAAAAATTACACTAACCTGAAGTGTGCTGAAAACTCAGCAAGAAAGTCCTGCAGAAAAGAATTCTTGCATGGTTTACTTTTCCAAATGTCTGAATACTGTGATCTCATCTGAGCACCTCTACTTCCCCATGACACAGGTACATAGTAGTGAGGATTAGTGTTTATTGGGCATGTACTATAAGATAAGCACATTGTGTGCAAAACTTCATTATATCCTCACAGAAGCTCAACAAAGCCTATACTATTACTCTTCCTATTGCATGGAGGAGGAAACCAGGGTTAAAAAAGTTTAAATAACTTGTCCATGGGCAAACATTGTATTATGGTAAATCCAAAACTTGCATCCAAAACTAATGTCAAAAGATGAAATTCTAAATCTCTACCGTGGCTGTGTAGGAAATATGGCACCTATTTGAGGATGTGCCAGTATGGTCAGATATATGGACAGACATGTCCAAAGTAATAGGGAGTTAGGGAGGAAGGAGAA